TCCTGACATCAGCCTCTGGGATTCCCTCTTTCCTAGTGAACTGTGTGCTATAAGAAGAATTTACAGTAAATAAAAAAAATTGCCAACTGCTATTCAAATGATAAGTGGTGCATGCTAATTACATTTTGTATGGTGATTAATTAAAAATAACCATGCAAATGTCTAATTTAAGAGTCACTCAATCCACTAAGTCTTCAGACACTGCCTAGCTGCCCTAGACATTTGGTGGTTAGGCAATTTATTCAAGCTTTCAAAATATTCTCAAAATGTCTAAGATAATGAAGGTTCTTGAAAAAGTTCCAGTTAGCTTGGAATATATAAACAGAGGTTTCAGAACAGAAAAATAGCACTGCATATATTTGCATTTTTGAACTGAAGTACTCTGTGTATACATAAAAATAGACCAGTAAGTGAATAATAGTCTAAATAATCTGAATATTTAGCTATTTAGCAGGCTGCAGAGCATAGCAGACTCCTTCACGGATTATTGCATTGGCTGAAGAAAACTAAATATATTCTTTCTTAGATCCAACTTTTTTTTTTTCTTGAAATAGGAAGCTTTTGATCCACATATGGACATGGGGTTTACCTTATCCACAAGTAAATATAATTGTATCTGTAGAACTATGCCATAACTGTAACCTAATTCAAATATAGTGAATTTTAATCAGTGGAAGATGCAACGAACAGAACAGATTACTGTGGTCCAATGGATGAGAAATTAAAATATATGAAAACCATCCTCAAAAAGTAATAAAGAAAAACTTAGAGAATTAGAATTTTTCCTTTTTACTACTAGGAAAAGAATGTCATTATTTTACTTGCTATTTTGTCATGTCATTCCGTATGCCTTTTTTTGGTAGAATTTTTACTTAATTTGGTGAATATTTAACCAAAAAAGAATGAATATGAGTCCAAGGAAACTCTTGTGTTTTATTTTCATGTTTCTGTTTATGTAGGAAACAGTTCTATAATGACTATTGCCACAGTTTTTCCTAGTAGAAATACATATGTTGTCTCTATATCATACAAGAGAATATATGCTATTCCTCAGCAACGTAGCATCTCATAACTTAACTATTTTTTTTAAGTCTCTTTACCAGATATCCCAAAGTTTCCCAAAGCCCAGTGAGGTTTGGGTGGATAATGACAAATGGTCTTAAGAGCATCTTTTGCACTTAGGTGAGCTTCACCCCAGGAAAGGAATAAGCAATATAGCCATCTGGGAAAGAGAACGATATTGTAAGGGCATTAACCATGCCATTCTGAGCCACTTGAGATTTGTTTCATCTCTGAAACTGTTACAGTGTATACTACATATACAGAGAATTTCTCAGAAGGAATATTAGAGAAAATTTAGATCAATACATGTAGAATGCAGTTATTTTTTAATTTATCTATGATGCTTTTACTGTTCTCCAAATATTCTACACATTTTTTTCAGAAATTAATTCAGTTATATCAGATATTTGTTTTCTGGGACTATTCTAGTTTATGCAAGTTTATTTATAGAGTACAAAGCTTCTATGTCTGCAGACATTCCTACCTGCAAACACTTTACAAGCACAGAAGTAAGATTGATTAGTTGTAGTATTAATTATGAATTACTTGTCCAGCTTTTATGAATAGCAGTATTTTTGCCATGTGCAGCGAAAACAGAGTTTTTGAGATTATATGATGCTTTCCCCTGTTCTCTAGAATTCATTTAACACACAGAATAATTATTTTACTGTTTAATGTTTAAATACAGTTTAATATTTAAACAGTTACGTTGGCAGCTGCATGAAATCATGAATAGTAGAGATGGAAAAGAAATACAATGGTAGCTGTTCATGCAAAATGAAAATGTCCGTACAAAATTTGTACTTCATTTTTAAAAAAATGTGCAATATGCTATCTATTATTTTACTCAGTATACTATCTATGATTTTACTCAGTTCTTAATGATTCAAATAAGTGTTTCAAGTGATAGAGTTTAGATTACTTTCTGCTAGCAACATGAGTTTTAGGCGCATCAACACTGAAATGTCCTGTCTGCTAAGAAACCTCTCTTTATGTGCCCAGATGTTGTTTGGTGTCCACTATTCTGATATTTTCCCCAAATTACAAGAGCTTTTTCTGTTTAGTAATGACCTGCCAGTGGGGCTGTCTAATGTAGTTTGAGGCACATTTGGTAGACTTTTACTAGGTGATAAATCCACTTTGAAAAATGTACTCATTACAGAGAAATATCTAATAAGCTCTGTCAGCTCACAGTATTTGCTCAGAAAGACACGTGCGAGTAGAAAGTTCCTCCGTTTTCCAGCACTTAATGAGAGTTTGCTTTTGTAGCCCCAGGTTTACCTGCAACAGCTATCCACACTGAACACTGGGTTCTGAGGGTGATGAATGATTGTGCAGCTACCAAGAAATCCTCCCCCTCCCACCTTTAATCAACCTGTTAACTAATCCTTGCTTAGCTAAAGGCTAATTAACTCCAAATGGAGCTGTTTTCCTCATTGAGCTGAGGTACTGGGTTTTCATAAGGAGTGCATTTAATCCATAATTGCTTTATTTTTTGATAAGATGACAGGATATATGTCTATAACTGCCTCCAAATTTGCAAATACAGCTCAGCACCACTTTTTGGACTCTTAATTATCAAGAATTCTGTTTTCAGAAGTAGTTGTGTACTCCATAAAAATAGTCATATAAAAATATCGTAGATTGCCTATAGCCTAACAATTAAAAGTACTTCTTTATTTCTCCAGGGAATTTGAATTAGAAATGGTATTATAAAACTAAAATTTTAAAAAACATCACTAGAAAGGGAAAATAAGAGAGAAAGGTATGATAGATGTTTTACTTTAGCAAAATATTCCATTCTGCTTTCATCTTTTGATTAACTTCTCCTCTGAAAATCCTCTAAATTGGTTTCATCATCATATTAGTCAGATTTAGATATGATCTGTGGTCCGAATTAGTGTCCATCAGTTGAATACCTCTGGTATGTAAAACAGGAGTATACTCTTTTAGGTATTTCTACTATTTTTTCCTTTTCTCATGTTTGTTGGACCCTGGCAGCATTTTCTATTGCTGCAGTTTTGTAAGCATGTTTTATTACTGCCTGATACTTTGCAAGTTGGCTCTCAGCATGGAAATCATTTCCCGGGAAGCTTCAAAAATCAACCCAGTCATTGCTGAGAACCAACAGAGAAAGGAGTAAAGTTGCTGTTTTTGTTAGAGCCATTTTTACATTGGGTGTCACCTCAAAGTGGAGATCTGACTAGTATCAGGAAGCAAACAGTGACTCAGAAATACCTTCCAGCCACACACTCTTGGTTAAGAGAATGCCGAAGGACACGGCTGCTTGGGAAGATGTATTACTACTCTATGCTTCCTTGATGGGCATGAAGTTGGCAACCTGCCGCTCTCATGCTTCAAGAACCCGCAAGCACCAAATTCCGCAGCTGAGCGTACCCTGTGACAGGGTGTGTATGGCTCCACCACCAGCCACTATACAGGCGAACACAGGCAGCTAGTCCCTGAAACAACAGTTGCCTTAGGGAGACTTTGACTCCGTTGTCCAAGACATCGACATTTTTCTGCTGTGTGTATGGAACAGTTATGTTTAGCTTGTAGAACAGTATGATTCAACCAAGTTGCTAATTCTGAAGAACTCTAAATAACTTGATTAATCAAATCGCTGTTCGTCTTTCCTGAATGTATGTGATTGATCAATTTGTTTTGGCAAGTTTTAACATTTGAATGATATGGAAAAGCGGCTGATATGGTGTCTCACTGACTTTGTTCTCTCTTTTCTTCAGAGTATATGTTACATATCCAATAACATATAAAGGATACAAAAATCCTACTTGTTTATATTTCAGAACAACACCGATAACTCTGTCTAAATCTTTTTAGTTCTTTTGTTCCATGCTTTATCCTCTGAGTTATTTCTAAAGAATTTTAATAGAAAGTCTTCATATAAAAAGTCTACAGGGAAAAGTACCTAAGCACTTTCTAAATTCATTTAGTCTTTTAAAGATCCAGTTACCATAACAACTTGAATTGTCACTGTAGTAATATTCTTTTATTGCAAAACACAGTGTTTTTTTATACAGCTATTATTTTCATAAAGATATTGACCTTCAACATTAAAGATCTTTAAAAATATTTTCTAGAATGTATTTTGCAGTTTCACAGGAAAAAATTTACAAAGGATAATTAAAACAATAAAATGTACCTTGCTTTTAATAAAAATAAAAAATCCTTCCTTCAGTAATAATTGAAATTTTACATACTTATATTAGGAGGCTCTTTAATATCCCCATCCAAGGTCTTTTGTTTTTAAAGCTAATTGATTGGGTAAGGAAAAGTAGGAAAGGTAAAAAAAATTTTTAAAAGCATATTTGCATTAATTACTTGAAGACTGATCATTTCTATTTATGCATAAATAAGAACCTGAGGAGCCAGAAAAGAGATAAATCCAGATTTTACAAAACCCTACACAAAAATCGGAGAAAAAATAAATTTAGCCTTTCTTATACAGCCTGGTATCTTTTACGATAGGAATGCCTACAGTGTTTCTGAAAAATGAGTCTTTTCTTCTATCCCTGCCCACTGTATTGTCAAGGTATTGTGTTATGTTAGCACTATGTACAGTATTTCTAAAAAATGAATCTTTTCTTCTGCTTCCACCCACTGTATTATAAGGATATTATGTTTTTCTACAAGCTTCTGTTGATTCCTGCCTTTGGAAAAAAGTTTCCTTTTTTTTCTGCTTTGTGAAGTTTTGTCTTACTTTTGGTGCATAATGCAAAACTCTTGTTACTGTTGTTCTGTTTCAAAAAAAAAAAAAAAAACAGAACTGAAGTTTTCAGAAAGATGCTGTTCCAGAACAAGATATTTTTTAAAACCCTATATGTAACGTTGGTGTCTGATCAGAATTGTAATGTTTGTTGAAAGGAAAATTGGATTTGGCAATTAATAATGCAAGTTAGCTTTTTTCATTTCACCAGGATGGCTTGTACTTCTGAGGCCTATTGTTAGAACCAGCTTTCTGCTGCCAGTGTGTCCTGCTTGAGAGCCACCTGCTTTTGGAGCACTGTCCTGGGAGCTGAGAGATGTGCAGCAGAGAACTGAACCTTTTCCCGCTTTTGTGAGTGGTGCTTTAGCAGGTAGGCTCTGTGCAAGCGGATTTAGCAATAGCATCACTACTGTTCTGAACACAAGTGATGGCTACCAATACTTTTTGTTGTTAGCCTAATAAGCACATACAAGGCAAACTTTGAGAACATCAGATTGAGACCTTCTAGGAACTTAGTGGGAGAATGAGTTTTTTGTGGATCTTAAGCAGGCTTAAGTATTACTTAGGTGCTGGACTGTCAAATCAGATTTTTCAGAAATACAGCTATTTTTCCAATACGACAAGGTATCTAGGAAACTTTAAGATCAGAACCTTCTGCAGAAGCTAGTTTAATTAAACGGCATTGTAAGGTGGAATTTGGGTGGATTTTCATGCTTGCCATTTTGGACTTGAATTGTTGGAAAATCTCATCAGAGTCCTGGTAGAGATGTCTTCCTTTTGTTGAATATAGTCTTGAATTTCAGTACCATCAGTAGATTCTTCAGGTATCTGTTGCCCTCAGTCTAATTCCTACTGAATAAACTTTATATCCTCAAATCTGCTAGTTGCAGGAATCATCAAGCAGTAAATATTTCTCAAGCTACAGATAAGAGTACAGTGCCTGTGCAATGTTTTTGGAACTCCACAGTGTGTACTATATTTGTTGTATGTATTAAAAGATGAACTCCATCTCCAGAGCAATCGATATTATTTTCCACAAGTTTATACATGAGTAATCCAGAGTATACAGTTTTTGTGCTTTTCTTTTTATAAAGACTTAGGTAACAAAATATCTGAGTGTGTTCCTTGTTGCATTTTCAATACCTGGTCCATCTCAAGAACTTTGTCCAGTAGTTTCAATATGTTAGTATATTTTCTGAAGTATTACTAGTTATTACATTTGTAATTTATATTTTAAAATACTAAGGACTTTTATTATAACTACAGAAATGGTATCACTAATACTAACTGTTAGTAAAGAGTTTCTCTGAAACATCTCATACAGACTGCAGATTATCTTTGTCCTGATAAACAAATGTTTAACAAGTTCATTATCTCAGTATTGAAGTTTTCTAGTAACAAACATTTACTTGGATCACAGCTGCTACTTGAGAGTAGCCAAAGCTGGTCTTCATAGTCAAGCCACTAAGTAAGTTAGTTCACTTATCTCTTGTTTATGCAACTTTTTTTGTATTGCATTTTGTATAGAAGGCTATAATCACTAATCAGACTGTCTTCTTTCCAACAATTTTAAACTTCTATAATTATGAATATATTGACCTATGCACGCGTAAAAGTACTAAGAATGCTGGAGGTCATCTTTGAATGCATTTGAATGTCATAAATGGAAGAAAAATTGCCAAATAGTGTTTACATCTAGAAAGAAGGCCCACAAGGTATATATTTTATAAAGAGTTTTCAAATGATATTTCATTCATTTATGTTCTGTTCACACATTTGGCATTTTGTGGGTTTGTTTTGTACAGCTTGTTACAAATATTCACACTTTAAGCAATTAAATTGAAGTTACACTGAAAAAACACCAAAATGGCTTTTTAGTGCAATCGTTAACTATTTTCATTTTCATCTTATTTCTAAGATTGTATTTACTGTGTAGTGTAGGAGATCTTCAGGAGAAAGGCTGATGGTTTTCAAACAGATATGAGACCATTTTTATTTCTAATATTTTATTTATATATGTATAAGAGTATAGTGTGTGGAGACTGATAGTACGTGTGCATAACAAGTTATTTTATCTATCTATCTATATATATCTCTCTAACAATTCACAGTGTGCACATACTATCGATGTGTATGCAGTGTTGATATGCCATAGATAAACTGCAGGAGCAGCACTGTAGCTGCAAATTTATGATCATAACACAGAGGCTTTGAAGTGATTACACTGGTGGGCCTTTGTTTTAATAATGTGGAAACTTATCTTCTATGGACTGAGAGTAAAAGTTCAATAGTAGTTATTTCTATATGAAAGATGTCTTTGGTTTAACGTTTCTGTTAGAGGGTACGCTAAATTCAGCAGCGGTCTAAATAGTGTATATCAGCGAAATATTTTGTGCCTTGAAAGTGCCAAGGTCATATGGAGTGACAGTCACTCTTCTCTGGAAATATTTTATTTTTGTTATTAGAACTAATGAGGAAGTTCTTACAAAACAAAAATTAATTTGGATTTAACCCTGATCTCCTTTTATCCTAGTATGTAACATATTCCAGGAAAAATCAAATAAAAACGTACCAGCTCTGTGAGATCAAAATCTGATACAAAGAATAAGTCTATATAGAACTGTGCTTTGCTCCCAGTCATGTCTTGTGCTCAAGCCGTTGGAATACCAGCTTGTGCTTACAGTGCTGTAGGAGAAAATATGGGTGCTGGAGCCAAATGGCACTCCTATTTGCAGAAGCTAGGCAGAACGTACCCAGTCCAAGTCTGCCACTGTCTTTCTTCTCTTTTTGAAGCAACATCAAATGAACAATGTCAAGCAGAAAATTTGAGATCCTGGAAGGATTCCAGTATTGTATTTACAGAGGCTGGTAAGATCCATAAAGCAGCTGGTACTCACGTTAGAGCAGTGGGGTGCACTGCATTGAACTATATGTCATTCAGCTTCTGACACAGGTACCAAGAGCATGAGTTAGGGGGAATGGTCTGTTGTAACCCACTCCCACTCCTTAACAGACATTCCTAAATTTTAATGTTAAAGGGTTTCAGGGAACGTGAGCACTGAGGATTCAATAGATGAAGAGAACATGCATGACAGAAGGTAGATTGACTTGATTTTCTTGTATTGTCTTCTGTTTCTTTTCTTAGCAGTACTATAAGATGCTAATTACTGAGCTTTCTTTCCAGCTCCCCTGCCCCACACAC